CTTCTAACATCATTTCCAGATGCCCCTGGTCATCGTGATTTCATCAAGAACATGATTACTGGTACTTCCCAAGCTGATTGTGCTGTTCTCATCATTGCTGCTGGTACTGGTGAGTTCGAGGCTGGTATCTCCAAGGATGGCCAAACTCGTGAGCACGCTCTTCTTGCCTACACCCTTGGTGTCAAGCAACTCATTGTTGCCATCAACAAGATGGACACCACCAAGTGGTCCGAGGATCGTTACCAAGAAATTATCAAGGAGACCTCCAACTTCATCAAGAAGGTCGGATACAACCCAAAGACCGTTCCTTTCGTTCCTATCTCCGGTTTCAACGGTGATAACATGATCGACAACTCCACCAACTGCCCATGGTACAAGGGTTGGGAGAAGGAAGCTAAGGGAGGAGCCAAGACCACCGGAAAGACTCTTCTCGAGGCCATCGATGCTATCGACCCACCTTCCCGCCCAACTGACAAGCCCCTCCGTCTCCCACTCCAAGATGTTTACAAGATTGGTGGTATTGGAACGGTGCCAGTCGGTCGTGTTGAGACCGGTATCATCAAGGCCGGTATGGTCGTTACCTTCGCCCCAGCTGGTGTCACCACTGAAGTCAAGTCCGTCGAGATGCACCACGAACAACTCGTTGAGGGTGTTCCAGGTGACAACGTCGGTTTCAACGTCAAGAACGTTTCCGTTAAGGAAATCAGACGTGGTAACGTTGCTGGTGACTCCAAGCAAGACCCACCTAAGGGTGCTGAGTCCTTCAACGCTCAAGTCATTGTTCTTAACCACCCTGGTCAAGTCGGTGCCGGTTACGCTCCAGTCTTGGATTGCCACACTGCCCACATTGCTTGCAAGTTCTCTGAGCTCCTCCAAAAGATTGATCGTCGTACCGGTAAATCCATTGAAGACTCTCCAAAATTCATCAAGTCTGGTGATGCTGCTATCGTCAAGATGGTTCCATCCAAGCCTATGTGTGTTGAGGCCTTCACTGAGTACCCACCTCTCGGACGTTTCGCTGTCCGTGATATGAGACAAACAGTTGCTGTCGGTGTCATTAAATCTGTTGAGAAGCAAGACAAGGCCGGTAAGGTTACCAAGGCCGCTGTCAAGGCTGGTGCCAAGAAATAAATGCAATAATGGAATGAAACAAAAAATTTCACCATGTTTGCTTTGTTTCGGGTTCACGATGATTTATGGCTAGGATGCAAGACACCATTTCCTTTTACCTCCTCGGTTTACGATAAGATGATTGGGTTTGGGTTTGCGCGTAATGGTTTCGCACTTCCGCGTTCTGGTATCATACATAGAACATAGTCGTCTAGAATGCACTTCAAAAGTACTTACTGCTGCTCCATTACTGCTTGTGATTGTGACCCCTATGTAATTTTTTCACCTCATCCTTAACGTTTATGTTGCCTACCTCATCTACTACACTTCACCAACCTCTTCTTTCTATGTTGTACTTCACCCTTTGACTATACTTAGACTGGTATTTCGGTTGACCATTATACACCTCCATGAATAGGGAAGTATGAAGCAAAGATTATTCCTCGATATGTTAATGGTCACTTGTAGATTTATTGTCAAGGTGGTATGGTTTATCAGTCTTCCCTTTGTTCCACACGGTCGATCAGGCCATCAATTGGCCCCCACAATTTTCGCAAATGCACATTAACTTGATGCCATTGAACATCAAGGATTGAATCTCAATAGAATCTCAATAGAATCTCGTTGATAGTACCTATTTAATCAATAATAAATTGCGAGCGATGGACACAAAAGCTTAGGGGTTATCAACGTGAGCCTTCAGTTGTTCAGGGACCGGGTAAGGGATAGGTGCTTGGTCATGAATCCCAACTGTACAATGCTCTCCACGAGAAATATCGTAAACTTTTGTTTTCATGATACTTAACCCAACTCCATTATTCAGCAAGTACAATCAGTAGGTGCTAACTTCATGAATAATCATGATTACATACACTCAAGAGATGTAATGTTTCAACACTTCCTCATACGATCCATCAGATGTAATTAGACCAGAAACAGAGCCCAGATTTTCAATTATAAGATATTACTTGATCTTTAAGATTTATGTTTAACACCTTACGAGGGTCTGGCTTTGAATAAACTATGTTTGACCAACGTTCAGCAGTATCTCCATATTATTTTTTCGGGATTTGGAACGGGATCTGATGATCGGTATGGGATGATTATGAATCGTTGTATATACCATAGCCTATTGATGTGATCACCTACCTTGTTATCCCAACCCGCCTATATTCAAAGAGTGTCAGCACCTATGAGGTAAAAGTTTCAATTCGTTGGAAAGTATTTCTCGTGGTGAAATTGCGATGATAATTGATGGTGCTTCCTTCAACTACCCCCGCACTTCTCCCTTTTATCCGCCTCTGCACGCAGGAATTTCCAACAGTATGATGGGTTCATTACTTGTTAAGTAATCACATCGCATAAGTTGTAGAACCATGAAGTTTGTACCATTCGAAGAAATTGATTTACACATGGTCTTGTAATTTGACAAGTTAAGCTTATATAGCACACCAATTTCCACCGTTCATTCATAATTAGTTCTCTTTGGCGATGTATTAAGAACCTCAAGTCACTCAATCAAAATGGCCCAACCAAGTGCAGCCTGTTGCAAAGGTACTCCCATATCATTGCATGGACCAGAATACAAACTCTCCGGCGAGTTCATTGAAATTGACCAAACAAAATATTGTATATACCCCTCTTCCATGATAGAATCTCACTAAAAAAATATTATACAGACGTCACTGGACCTGAGAATGCCACATCAGCCATTCTCTTAGTCTATGATATCTTCGGTTTTTGGACTCAGACGCTCCTAGGCGCTGATATTCTTGCCGCAACCAAGACTTCATCATCTCAAGGTATAAAAGTATTTGTGCCCGATTTCTTTGGACCGGGCAATGAAGCAGATATCGCTTATTGGCCTGCGGATACAGATGAGAAATGGGATTACATCTTGAAGGTATTTAGAGAGCAAGCGGAAAAGGAAAAGAACCTAAAGAAACTCTGGGAGTTTATGAAGGTGTTGAAGGAAAGAGATGAAGTTAAAAATGTGAAGAGTTGGGGGGTTGCTGGATATTGTTGGGGTGCAAAGGTTCGTAAATTTTACTTCGAACGCTCATTTTATGCATAAATAGAATAAGACAAAGTCCTGACGATTATGAATAGATAGTGACAATGGCTTCGCAAGGAGGAACTATCTTCAAAGCAGGAGCTCAAACACATCCATCTTTGGTAGATCCGGAAGATGCCAAGTTGGTGACGATTCCACAAATTGTCCTACTAAGTAAGGATGAGAATAAAGAGGTTTGTGCCATTGTCTCAAGCAAAATAGGATAATGCTGATGTGATTTCTGTAGCAATGCAAAACATATGAGAACAATGTGAAGGTCGCAAAGTACTTTGAGGCTTTCGATGATCAAGTGCACGGCTGGATGTCTTCAATGTGAGTAGCTGAGCTTAAATTAAAAGTTTAGTATGGCATTTTACTGACCAAAAACTTACTAAAAAGGGGCGATTTGGAAAACCCAAGGACTCGTGAAGAATACTATCGTGGATATAAATTGTGGAGTGACTTTTTTGTCAAGTACCTGTGAATTATGGAGCAAGTCAATTGGAGAAATGGATCAAGAGTTCTCTTCTATGGTAACAGAGGAGAACAAGTACTGATATGTATCTATTCGTAAATATCTCTTGAATAAGGTAGATATCAAAGTTTCGAGAAGATCGTCGTCCGGGGTTTCCACGTGACATAATTAAGGTTATTTAACTTAAAACTAGCTTCCCCGCACTCGCCATGAAGACAACCGCCCCATTACGTTTGACTCTCTGTTTTATTAAATCACAATCAAAAGTTCAACTTCAGCGAACACGTACAATGATGATTTTGAAGACTTGAGAAACATGGAGAGAAAGACATCAAATGTTCAATTTGGCGGGAACCGCTTTACATTTGATAATAGACCCAGAAGGCTGCCTTCACAAGATTGCTTTCGCGGAGCCTACAAGGCACAAAATTGATAGGGATATTTGGAGGTGAAGACTGGGGAGAATTTGAGTTTCCAGGAGTCAAGATTGGGTTTGGAGATACAAGTCCGCCTTATCGGGAGGGAAGATATAGTTATGCGTTTCGCCAAGAGGAAAGTTCCTTCCTTCATGACCAGTGGTGGCAGAGAAGCAAAGGAGCATTATCAAAATCTGAGAGTGAGACAGACTCATATGGACAAAGATGATGGTGATATGGCTAACACGTCATTCACTTAAGCACTCTGTCTTTCAGCCACTTCTTGCAATAACTTTTATCATATGATTACCTGACATGATGTCAAGTCAGATGTCGAGGTATCTCTGCCTGTACTGCTCATGTCATCCATCCAGTACAACTCTAAATAGATCTAATACAGCCTCTCAGGTGCCACCATGTTTCTTGTTACTGAATAATATTACAGCAATGTCCCGTAACTAGACAGAATATTGCATCACGGTAGTAATTATGAACTCCCTCAGACCTCGACTGATGAATCCTCAACCTTGAGGTCTAGGGATACACTCAAAGACCCGGCGGTAACCTACCAGCTTACTTCAGGGTATATTCCATGTACGTTCGCTATTATTTTCTATATATATATATTGAGTAACTCGAATTATGTCTCTTTTCCTCATTAACTAGCTTCAGTATCCGAGCCTTTTAGAACTACTGTATGGTCATCTACTGGCCATCCCAGCCGTATCAATTAGATGGATGTGTCGTCAAAAAAACTTGCATTTCAACTCAACCACCTCGGAATCCTTTATAAGAGTACTTGATAGTTGTAATCGACACAGCCAGCTCTTTAACGATCAGCTCGGAGAAAAATAGTATATCTCGTTCCTCTATCGACATATTCACCTTTCTATTTGGTCTAATATTTGTTCTCCGACCTCACTTCCTTCAGTACATCTGAATTATCATGAGCGATATCGACAAATTAGATTCCTCTATCAGGAGGAAGATACTTCCGATCGAAAGAGAGTTCGGCAACAACTTAATCTACGATGGTTACGGGATGAAGTCAAACAGCCATACCTTTGATTCTAACCTCGAAATACGACTTCCATCTGCTGATGGGGGTGGAACGCGCCCAGAGTCCTTTTTGGAAAGCTCAATATTTATCTAGAGGCCTTAAAAGAACCGGAACAATCTACGAAATGATAGATAGATTGCGAAAAGATGGACACAAACCAATGGTGCCAAAGCTGATTGCATTGGAAACGGCAATGCGGGATGATTACCAGACACAATATATTGCAACGAGAGAAGAATTAGAAGAGGAAAAACGGAAGGCAAAATTCGAACATGAGAACAAATGGAATAACGAATTGGACGATCCTGGGAAAGCTCGCCAAAACCCTGAGAAGTTCTTGGGCGAAAAGTTCCCGGCATACCTAGATTCCAAACGAGAAAAATGCCGTTTTCATGACGATTGACTCATCAGCAGCAGCCAATGTTCGAAAAGCTGCTCTATCACTCGGTCTCATATACGAATCATCAGAAGTTTCAAAATTCGACGAACCACCACTCCAAAGAGACCTTTCCTCGCTCATCCATATAGCCATAGGCAGAACTGGACCTGCTGTCACGAATGAAATTGAAGAGATACATCAGATCCGAGGTAAAGCAATGCAAAAAGCTCGAGAAGCTATGAAAAATGCTCGAGATATTATTAGCGAAGCCCATGATGATGTAATCCGCGCATCAGACGACAAAGCCTGGGACGTCACTGGAGATTGGCATGTATCTTGCTTGGAGATGGAAAGGAGATGGCCCACTCCTCTCACGCTTAAGATTTATAGTCAAGAATCTGATGGTCAATGCCAACTGTCTGGCGAGTTCGATTTCGGTGGGGTATCGGGTCTGTTCCGTTTTGAGCAACAGTTTCCAACTATTGAGATAAATTCGGCTAGACTAGCTCATCCGAATGTCAAGCGAGGAAATATCACTTTCACGAAAGCCGAGAAAGAGAAGAAAGGCGTTAATGAGGATGAAGATGACGACAGCGATAATAATATTGAATATAGAAGAACCACGACTAAACGTCTTTGGTGCAAATCTACGGCGGAAGCCTTCTCATTTCCCTCGACGGAAAAGCCCTCTCTCCACAATCCAACGTGGAATTATCGATGGCGCGGGGAATACAAAATAGACAGCGAGGTGTCCCAGGTCAATATCTTTGTTCGATTACGTTCGGTGAACCGTTAGGTACAACTCTAACTGGCACCTTCGGAGGCGACCTTTACAGGACTTGGAAGGAGGATATGGCGTTCACGGGTGTTAAGGTTGGTGTTGGAGGTACTCCTATCGATATCGAAAAGGAATGGCGTGATGGACAAAACATAATATAAGATAGTGATATACAGGACTAAAGGATTATATCGGGATGAACGACGACGAAATGCTTGATAGCCTAATAATAGATACATAAGGAGTTATCACTACGGGACTCGATATGGATGAAGCACATGCAGAAAAATCTAGATGCGAAGCAAGCATGAGTCGGTCTCGAGCCCGCAGCGATGGAGGCAATACCAACTCGATTCATCGTTTTGCAGTTACATCTATGAACTAGATACAATATTACAAAAGTCTAGACTCCTTCATTCTTCAATATATATCTGCGATGAATTGTTACCACGGTATTAATAAAAATATACTGGTGTTCTTTATTCTTGATGTAAAGATTTCAATTTCGTCGCAACAATCGATTTACCCTCGAAAATCTCCAACCTTACCCCAGAGAAACATTGCAACAATTAACCTCTCAATGCGAGGGAAATATTTCATCGCCTTCTCAGCCCCAAGCCCCATCCCCATCACGTTTCAGCCTCTCGCAAACCTCCCGTCCCCTTAGCCCCCAAACCCCTCCCCAAATTCAGCCTAACAAAAAGCCATACTCAATGGTCTCCAAAAAGGTCACTGTGGCACAGAAACTCACCACCATCAAACCACATCCATTCATTACTCACAAACAATTTTCCATTGGCCACCAACCCCCCACGTTCTGCGCTGAATATGCAGTGCAGCTTGTCGATATCGCACAGCTGGGCGCACAGGTGGTACAGGGCGGGGAGGGTTAAATTGGGATTTGCGTCACTTGCTTTCCTTCTTGTTGATATATTGTATTACATTTCTTCTGTTTTTATTGTCGTTCGATTTTATCCATATCTCCAAATTAAATTCAAGATTCCGATCTCTTACAATTAATTGAATGCCTCGCACACGCAGTCGTCATGCAACTCGCATATCCCGACGCAGCCCACCCCGCGAAACACATTCCGGGGTAGGTATTCGTCCAAGTTTGAAGAAAACCGATATTTGTGTCGGCTGTATAGTATGGCTTCCGTCTAAGTTGGAAAGCGATGGCGATTTAGTTTGTAGTCGTGAAAAAGGTTGTTGCAATGGGAGATGCTTGAATGATGAGGGGTATAATCATCCGGTTGTGATTTTGGAGCATGAGGGAGATACTTGTTCCGTTGCTATGGTAGAGATTCTCCTTTTCATTTGTTCAGGGTTATTTTTTATAGAGGGAATAAAGTTAGACATCGAGGGGAAGCTAACAATATATCATCACCGCTAGTTAACATCTAAGCCCCGTCAAAAATACAACCAGAAAACCCGCATCGCGATATCTCAAACCCCTCAAAATCTAGAAGACGTAGATACCGATCCTGAAATTATGCTCTATCTTGAAGCAGGAGAAATGAATAAAGCCTCATTCGTTATTACTGAGCATGTTTTTCCAATACCCTTCTCAAAGCTCCGCGCTATTAGCTTTAAACCCGATTCCAGAGCTTTCGATACAAGACTTTGTAAAACGAGCTACCTGGAATTGATAGGGAGATTTGAGATGGATAAGGATATAGCAGAATGGATGGACACGGTGGCCATGAAGGGAAAACAAGGAAATGCGAATGCTGAGAGGAGAAGAAAGGGACAGAGGAGACAGAGGGTTACATTCAGAGATCCATGGGAGGAAATCAGAGAGAATATATCGGCTTCGCATCAAAGCTCTGAGGGCACAACACGACCTCTGGATCAGAGAAGTCTTTCCGAACCTATACCATCTACAAGCTTTCCCGCTCTTCCCCAAATAACTCCGCAAACACACACTGTTCCCACAACCCCATCACCAGGATGGTACACCTATAGCGTTGCAACGAACCTCGCGAATGAACGACAATCTCTCCTCCAGCAAACATATCCTATTCCATCTCATCTTCCGCCATCTCCATCGCCTTCTCCACCTTTGATAATAGGACATCAACAATACCATACTGATGTTCCACCCCGTCCTTCACGTCCAAATTACCACGTTACGCTTCCGTCAGTTGAGAGATACGATCGATCGCATTGGGATGCAAGGATACGCAACAATAATTCCCGAAGTCAAGATTTGGAGGGTGGAAGATATGGCGTTAGGAGCGGGAACGGGAATGGGAATGGAGAAGAGGGAGAGAGATATGAGGGAGGTTTGTTTGTGCAGCTTGTGGTTGTATTTTTGGGATTGGGTGGATTTGTTTGGTGGTTGTATGGGAAGTAATTTTTGGGTCAGAGGTCAGAGGTCAGAGAGCACGAGATTTTGGGGCAAAGATGACGATGAATTTGAGATTTGGAGAAATATTATTGATTTAGCGAGGTAATTTGAGGGGTACATGTATGTGAGGCGTTTGAGTTTGAATATTTTGTGGAACTATTTTCTTTAGCGAAGTCGACTCTTGAAGGGGAATCAAGGGCTTTATGTTGGATAGTTCGAAGTATAATGAATATTGTATAGCGTAGTATGGCATAGAAAATTGCACATGAATGTAATTTTGGGGGCGTCATGTGTTTTGAATATACCTTATATATTGTGTTTATTTTTCACACTGGTACATAAGTAAAAAAAATACCATACACCAGATTTACTTTCAATAAACTCCCAGGTCGTCGTCGCTACAATCTCATATTACAAAAAAGAATTATCCGCATCCCATCTCATCCTATTCCATACAGACAACAAAAACTTCTAGACGCGAGCTTTAGCTACATAACTCCCCAGAAGGAACCTGTAGAATTAGATTTATGCCATCTAATTTGCGCTTGCTTCGATTCACGAATTGGAGATGACCTCGCCGGGCGAGGTCAGCCTAAAGGAACTTCGGTCCAAAAGGGTTCGGATCTTTAAATGCCACAAACATATTTCCACCACCATGAACAAACCCATTTATCATAACTCCCGCTCTCATCTACCCACGAAATTGCATGGTGTTAAGGGAATCAATCACATGAAGCCTGTCACAAAGCGCCATAAGCTATTCGCGCATGTTTGCAATATGCCATAAGATATCATCTACCGCAAATTAGTCTAACTTCTACCCTCGAATGTTACTGAACACCAAAATGAGGAGCTTACTAGGAATATGAGTTGCCATCAGACACTCCTGGAAAACTGGCTGATTCGGAGACACATTTGAAAAGGGTCTGCGGGTAATATGCAACATCTTGATAGGTGTATACCGATGATTGGATATGCTCAGGATTACAAGTTAAATTTGAGTTTAACCTGGATCCTTGAGAATCTTCATCAATTACAGCTTGCGATTCGCTGTGGCTAGTACTCATGTCTTTCATTGACATCGATTCTTCGGCTCTTACCGGATCCGGCTGATTCGGCGCATAAGGCCATGGAAGAGCAGGTGGTTTGACAGTCTATTTTGCAATCTTGCCATTGATGCTTTGTCCAAACAATGATCACTAGCTTTCGTATTCCTATCCATCTCAAAAACGTCGAAATACGGTTGTTCCTGTGTGATAATCTTTTTGCATGTATGGAACAAACATAAGTAAGTGAGTTTTCTCATCGTCTGTTCTCCTTCTAACCAGTACCTCGATCGAGCTTCGGACATAAAGTTATTCTTGAATGTGTGTCCAATGGGTGAATAATGTGAGTAGCCATCATTGCTCATGGGTGTACTCGTCATCTGTTTTTGGATTAGCCAGCATTCAGCAGGGGACGCAGGCATAGCGGGGATCATTACTGCAATGAAAGTTACTTGGAGCCCATTTCCAGTAGGTAATGTGTCGGATACTAGAACGGGGTGATCGCATGCTCCATTGTTCATTTCGCATTCGGACTTGCAGAGACGTGAGTGTTGCTCGCAAGTGAACTGGGAGGTCAGCTCGAGAGGTGGGTGCCACAAAATACAGCCTGGACGGACATCCTGGATGTCAACAGGCTTTATATTCACTGGGTGAAGGTTATTTGGCACGGTTCATTCGAGAGCTACTGTGACGAAGTAGTAGTCCTGTGGTTCAGAATAGGTGATAATAAATGTGAGGCTTGAGCTTTTGATTGACTGAACGGGTAAGAAATTGAGGATGTAGATAATGTGAAGTCAATATCTATCAGGAATTCATAAGACTCTGAAATTAAATAGAGATATTTTGGGAATCTGTCCAAAGATCAAGTCGCACAGCGGGTTATATAGGCCGAACAATTCTTCCTTTGGAATCCATCAATCTCCTAGAAACAACACGTACAATGGCAGTGGCACAGCTGGTATTGGAACTTTTGCAATAATAGTATGATACAAAAGAAACTATGAAACAATTCTTATTCACCATGAACATACAAAGAAGTTCGAGATGCATGGCTGGATCAAGTCGTAACTCCAAGACATGTGACATGGTTTTTATTCTGAGATTGGCGAGTCTCCTTTGTTCCGAAGGCCGCAGATATAGTTGGAGTCTCAACACCGCTGCCTCGTCATAAGATGTTTGATTCAAGCAAGAAACATTTTTCAAGACAATACTCATTATCCAAAACAATAATCATCAAAGCCCAACCACATCAAATTCCACCTCCCGTCTTGGGGTGATCAATGCTTTTTTGAAAACAACCCCAAAGACTTTAAAAATACCCAATTGAGTCCTTGGAGTTACTTCTTGTTTAAATAATTTGATTATACAACCCCAAGACGGTGGAATGGTTCAATTGAAGGGGGAGGAAGGTACAACTTCCTCGAAGTGTTTTTCCTCAACTTCGTACCTTCCTCCCCTAGAGATTAACATGTAAACATACGATTTCTTCTCAGAGATAGAACGAAGATGCTTTTACCATCTTGAAATCATCGTTCAATCATCATCCGGGTTCACATTCAGAATGAAACAGGTCAGAATTGAGGATTTCTTCGTCAAGAATACTCGAATTGGAACTCAACATCCACTAATTCAATATTCACCAAAGTCAACAGTTCCCTCGAAACAGGCCACCATTAAGGATTTCTTCGTCCAGAACACTCGAAATGAAACTCAACATCCACCAAAGTCAACAGTTCTCTCGAATGATGCCATTTCAAACACCTCTATCAACACCTCCATTTCAATATCTCAAGTCAAATCATTGTCGAATGGCAAGTCAAAAGTTTCATCTATAGGTTCGCCAAATTCTACCACAGTCTCCATACTTAACGAAAGAAACGATAACGAAATCCGACAATTTTTACATTTAAGTCAGATTACATTTAATCAATTGTTCCGAAGAGAAGATGAAGATCTTCAGATTGCTCATCAATTTCATGAGCGTATCAAACAATCTTTGCAATCTACTATCAAGTGTTATCATACCGAGCAATGGAAAGAGTTCTTAGCATTGCGATCGATAGATGAATGGTGCGATGTAATTTCCAACTTCACATTGCCCGCTACCAAGAAGATGCTCAACAAATCCGAGATTCCCACTATGGAAAATATCATTAATTGTCGATGGATTGACACTACGCAGGCAGGTTAGTCAACTGATCAACTAATATAAATCGTGCATTGGAAGCTGACTAAAATTTAGGGGTTTATTTTCACCTTTTTCAACCCGTTATTCAGGACGGAACACATCACACTCACTTGTACATTGGTGAAGCCTCGGGAGACAAAGGACTAGCAGGCAGACGTCTGCGTCACCAGCAGGAACTTGACAAGTCGAAAGATAAAAAGAGGAACCCTTCCTATCATTACAATGTTTTTCGTACCACACCAAGAGTCTCAACATGGGGAATCCTCTTTTTGGTGCCAGATCTAGAAGTGAAGGATGGTATCGAAGAGAATGAGCAGGAGTGAACAGATGCTTGTTGGTCGGAAGTACGTGTCATCTGTTATTTAGCAGAAGCGGTAAATCTCCTAAGCTTAGCTCAATAATCAACATCGTCATTTCACATTATAGTCGTCATTACGCCCATTTTCATCACCTAATTTTTAATATGCTCCATCTTAACTTGGCTTTGCTACAAAGAGGCTAGCCATGAGATACCCCACGGTGTTGAATATATATGCTAGATGGCCCTCCTCTTGTAATAACTTTTATATTCTCCCCATGAGGTTTTGTTGCACATCGCAAAAACGCATAACTAGCTGTATTTGCATGACAACTAAGCGTTAGATAAGGCTGAAAAGTGAATCTCGTAGCTTCTTTCTAAGTACTGGGAATTGAGATGTGGCGTGTGGAAATATTCACCTCAATTTGAATTCAGTTTAGAATCTAGGAAAGGTCGAGTAGCTGGTGAGTATTTAAGGGGAGCTGTGGTCTTCAAATCTACTTCAAATCTAACAGCTGAAGCAAGTTGGTGAGCTCATTATACGTACCATAGTTCACCAGAGCTATTTTACGCGCGTTACTATAGGGTTGGTAATGTTGTGACAAGAATCTGCCTGCTTTAAGCTGGGATTGGTAAGTGATAAGAGGGCTTTGTACTTCATTTGATACCACGCGATGCACTTCTTATATCCACAAGATAATTTGGAGACCTCGCACAAAGGGTAAAACTTATCATTCATGAACTGTATTTTAAGCAATCACAAGCTATACTATGAATATATTGATTGTTCGCGTCATTATCAGAAACTCGCAGCACAGGATATCCGCTTTTCTACACGCTCATGCACATCCCCCTTGCCACATTCTCGCTTTTCTTTTCTACTCTTTCAAATCCTTCTCCACTTGATCTCTACAGATCGGATGATAGAAATCCTTGTTTTTCTCAAAGGTTTCCACGGCCAACTTTCTATCAACAACTACCAACTTCCTGTAAAGTGTTCTAACGAACTTCATTCTACCAACCTTACCCAACAACTCTGCAGTAGGTTGATATACTGATTCATCCTTGGCAGCTAGGCCAACGCCGAAATAGCGGGAGCTAAGTTCGACGTTTTTGGTGTTGACAAGATCGTAAGCTTTACCCATTGCTTGACTTTGAGCTGGGGTGAGAGGGGTGGTGAAGAGTTGGACTTGTTGCAGGAAGACAACCACTTGGTTTGCGGCCCAACCTTCAATGTCGGATGGGGAAGGTGTGAAATCCTAAAAGGAATTAGTTTATGTGTAGTGATGTAGTCTCATACGTGATTTACCTCTGACTCCCATTTCTTTGCTAGAGCATAGCATTTATCGACCAAGCTTGTGTCAAAGTCGGGCTTTGAGGGAAGACCTGGCTTGTAGAACCAAGAATCCCAATCAACCGACTCGAGAGCTTTAGAAGCAGCTGAATCGGAAGCGAAGAAATCAAGAAGCGTTGC